GACGCGGGGCTCGAACTCACGGACCGCGAGATCGTGACCTGGCTGAAGTCGGACGCTTAACCGACTGCGCCACCCAGGCGCCCCTGACAAATTTAAATGGTCATGTATACCTACCTATGAAAAGTATTCATTATTTGTTGTATCTCATTATTGTTTTAATTGGTAATTTTAATTGGTAATTTTAACTGGTAATTTTCCCTAAAGAGAATGAGTACTTTTTCATGGTTTCCCCCCCCCCCTCATGTATTTTCCTTTGTGAAGTCTCCACTCAAGTCTTTTGCCCATTTCTTATCTGGTTGACTATTTTCTTTAAGTTGTAGAAGTTCTTTCCTTATCAGATATATACATTGCCAATATTTTCTCCTTGTCCGTGGTTATTTTTTTTTACTTAATGTATATTAAGATGTCTAAAAATTGATTATGAGCAGAAGTTTTAAATTTTGATTTTAATTTATCATTTTTTTCTTTATGATCAGTGTTCTCTGTGTCCTAAGTAATTGCAACTCTAAGGCCACAAAGACATTCTCCAATGTTTTCCCTTTGTAGCTTTACAATTTTAGCTTTTACATTTGATTCTATAACCTATCTGAAATGATTCTATATTGTAAAATGGAGTCAAGTTTCATTTTATTTTTTCTGATGGATATCGAGTGGTTCTAGCTCCATTTTAATAAAAGACTTTTCTCTCCCTATTGAATGCTTTGGTACCTTTGTTAAAAAATCAATTGACTGTATAAATGTGGGTCTATTTCAGGACTCTATTCTGTACCATTGATCTATTTGTTTCTCTTTACATTTTTTTAATGTTTATTTATTTTTGAGAGAGAGCATGAGCGGGGGAGGGGAAGAGAGTGAGGGGGACAGAGAATTTGAAGCAGGCTTCGCCTTGACAGCAGTGAGTCCGATGTGGGGGTTGAATTCACAAACTGTGAGATCATGACCTGAGTCAAAGTTGGACATTCAACCGACAGCCGCCCAGGTGCCCCTGTTTGTCTATCTTTAGGCCTGTATCACATCGTTTTTGATTTCTGAAGCTATATAGTAAGTCTTGAAATCAGAAAGTGATAGTGCTCCAACTTTATTCTTTTTCAAAGATGTGGACACTTCTAGGTCTTTGCATTCCCATGTAAATTTAGGATTAGCTTGGGAATTTCTACAGAAAAGCCTCTGGGATTTTAATTGGTTTTGTGTTGCATCTAGAAGTCGGTTTGATGAGAGCTGATGTCTTCGCACTAGTGAGTCCTTCAGTGCATAAATATGGCATTATCCCATTTACTGGATGTTCTTTAATTTCTCTCGGCAGTGTTTCATAGTTTTCATGGAAGGGTTTTGGACATGTGCCATTGAATTTGTTCATAGGTATTTGATGTCTTTGTTGTTCCTTCCATCTAAGTTGTCAAATTTATGGACTTTACATCATAAAAGTATTTCTTTATTTTCCTTTTAATATCTGTAGGATCTGCAGTGATGTTTTCTCTTTTTCCAGATATTGGTAATTGGATTTTTTCCTTTTTTGTACTATCCGGTCTAGGTAGGGGGTTGTCAGTTTTATTGATATTTTCGAAGAACTACTCTGGTTTCATTGATTTTTTTTCTATTGTTTTTCTGTTTTCTATTTCACTGATTTCTGCTCTTATCTTTATTATTTCCTTCTTACTACTTACTTTGGATTTAACTTGCTCTTATATTTCTATTTGAGATCTTTTATTGTAATGTTTTGTTATTTCTAATATAAGCATTTAAAGCTATAAATTTCTCTGTAAGCAATGCCTTAGCTCACTCTAAAAATTTTGATATAACATGTTTTTATTATTTTTGTTGTAATCTTTTCTATTTCCTTTGTGATTTCTTTTTTGACCCATGAGTTATTTAGAAATGTTACAAAATTTTGAAATGTTTGGAGTTTTTTTTTATATTTGTTTGTTCCTGATTTCTAATTTAGTTTCACTGTGATCAGATAATATACTTTGTATGATTTCAAACCTCTGAAATTTACTGAGTTTTTATGGTCCAGAATATAGTTGTCTGGGTGAACCTTCCATGAATGCTTGAAAATAACGTGCACTTTGCTGTGACTGGATATAGAGTGTCATGAGCACACTACGAAGGCACACACATGAGTTGTGTCTTTCCACAATGTGAGCTTTATTCAGTCATAAAGCAAGGTTAGCATAATTATAAAGCAGGCTCAGTATTCCAAACTCAATGACATGTGTTTAACTCATGTGTTTAACTTGGCTTCATACATGTCACACAAAGCAAAGCACAAGACAAGTCACACAACAAACGAGATGGAATAAGGGTAGGAAGCTAATAAAACAAATGCTAAGTCAGACACACAGTTGAGATAAGGCCTAGGTCCGGTCCAGATCAACTGTTCGCGTTTACTGCTTATTATGTTCAAGCAGTGAACGATCTCTGTTCTGTTCGGAGATCAATCAGGCAGAACCTTTGGCAGCAGGTGCCTTTTTGACGAGGGGTCAGTGTCTGAGGAGTCTGACAGTTTGCTGCAAAAATCCTCCCTTTTTAAAGGGATTTAATCAGTCTTGGGGCTTTGCAGATCTCTGTGTCTGCTGGCTATCAGTTCTGAGTATGTCATAAGCTGGTGCTGGTCTTGGTGATATCTGGTCTTGGCTGCAATGCCCTTACCTGCTACTGTCGTTGTTTGACACAGGCCACTGCTTGACATGAGTGACTCCATCTTGTTCTGTATAGAGTTTTTAAATTGTCGATTAGGTTAAGAGCAATGTCCGATTTTTCACATCTCCTACATCTTTGAAGAATTTTTTGTTCTATCACTAATGGAGTGGAGTGTTGAGATTTCCAATTATAACTGTGCATTTGTCTCTTTCTCCTTATTTAGTTCTATGCGTTTTTGCTTCTGCTTTTAAAGCTCTGTTGCTTGGTGCATGCCCATTTAGGATTGTTGTGTTCTCTTAATAAATGGTCTGTTCCGTTGCCATGACATATTCCTCCTGTTGCTGTTAATGCTACTTGGCCTGAAGTCTGCTTTGTCTGATGTTAATAAAGCCACTCCATCTTTCTTATAACTGATGTTTGCATGGTATTTTTTCCTGTAATTTTACTTTTAACGTATCTGTGCTTTTACTTCAATTGTGTCTTTTGTAAACAAAATATAGTTGGGTCTTGCTTTTTTAGCCAATGTTACAATTTCTCACTTTGAATCGAAGTGAGAAATACATTTGGATTTAATGTAATTGGATTGGATTTAATACTACCATCTTGTTCTTTGTTATCTGTCTGTTCTATTGTTTTTTTCCCCATCTTTTCTTTCCTTTTTGGGGGCTACGTATTTTTAATATTCTATTTTATTTCTTTTACTTCATTTTAACTATATGTCTTGGCATTTTTATTTTTTGTGTTTTTCTAGAGATTATAATACGCATGTTTCATTTATCAATCTACTGTGAATTAATATTTTATCACTTTATATAGAGTATTTACACCAGTATACTTTCATTTACTTACTCCTTATCCTTTGTGCTGTTATTGTCATGCATTTTACTTCTACATATATTATACACCACACAATTCATTGACATTAACCTTGCTCTAAATGCTCAATTATCTTTTAAAGAAATTAAGAAATAATTCCTAAAGTTGCCTTTCACCATATTTTCCATTTTTGGAGCTGTTCATTTCTTCATGTGGATCTGAGTTTCCATCTTCCTGAAAAACTTCCACTAACATTTCTTTCAGTGCAGGTCTACTGGTTGTCCCATGAGCAACTGGAGTAAGAGGGTCAATGCCCACGTTCATGATCTGTTTATTAATATACAGCTAGTGCCTAAGAGGCAACTGGCATCTAGCCTGGCCGGGGGGATGCGGCTAGTAGAACTGAGCCTTGCTTCCTGATGGATAGCAGAGGCTTCTGACGTGGGCCAAGTCTGTCTCTGGTTTTTCCAGTTGCCCCACTGGGCAGCAGCAGTATGGTAGTTGGGTACATGGTCAGTTTCTTTGGCATAAATGCTAAGAACCGCCCCGCGGTATCCACGTGGATGCAGGGTCTTCCATAGATGGCAGATATGGGAAGGGTGCTTTCCTGACCACCTGCTCGCTGTGTCCCTACAGCTTGCTCAGACACGGGGATGCATGTTTCCTGCCAGAGGATTGCCCATGCACTTGGAAGGGGAAGGAATATTTCCCTGGGGACCAGGTCATGTCTCCCTGCCATACCTGGTAAGTGAGGGTACTGTTCACACTCTGCTTTTGGCTGGGATGAGGATGGATATGAGAAGCGTGACCATGAGTACAGTCTAGCATTCCCCTTCCACCATGTTCATACTCATGTTGCGTGTTTGTGTGTTATTTAGGGATGTTTGTGTATATACAAGTGTATGTATAGATGGAAATTTGGGGGGCTGTTTCTGTAAATGTTTACATGAATGTGAGTTTGTGACCGGCAGGCTTCTGTTGAAGGTTGCTGGTGTTTGTGACCCCCTAGCCCAGAGGCACATAGTGGGAACTCTACAGGCAATGGCTCTGTCGTGGGTATTCAGAGTGTATGTGTGTGTGTGTGGGGGGGGTGCCCTGCGAGCTGGTCTGGGCACATGTGTTTCAGTGTGTGCCAGCGGGGCTCATTCCAGTGCACTCTCCACCCCTGTGCTTCCACCTGCACGGCCTATGGCGACCGGCACTACCGCACATTTGATGGGCTCCCGTTTGACTTTGTGGGGGCATGCAAAGTGCACCTGGTCAAGGTGAGCTCCTGGAGGTGTCTGATGGGCTGGCGCTATGGGGACCCAGGGCATCTGAGGCTGAGGACCTGTCAGGCACGGTGATATTCTAGACTCCAGTCTGTTGCACAATTAGGTGGGTGGAGGGATTTAAGCCTGGGGGTATGGCTAGCTAGTGACTGAAAGAAGTGCTGAGGAGCAGGTTCAGAGCTAGACAGAGCTCACCAGGCATGAAATACCCCACTGCATGTCCACTCACCATTATAGCCTTGCCCCATTGGGTCCCAATGGTTTTTCTATCTGTAGTAAGAGCTTATGTTTTCTAAACTTTTATTATATGCCTGGTGGTCTCCTGAGCCAATTTTGAGGATTATTTTACTTAATTCTCGTATCAACCCTATGAGGTAGAATATATTTGCCCCATGTTATAGGTGCAGCAACTTGGGCTTAGGGAAGTCAGGTGTCTTGCCTGAGATCACACATCTAGGCAGTAGCAGAGCTGGTGTCAGGTGTGAACCAAGAAATATGATGGGACATTTGGTGTGCTTAAGGAGTCACGTGCTAAAGCTGTCAGCTTATGCAATAAAAAAGGGATGGTGATGTAGGGTGAGGGGCATAGTAGAAGCAGGATCCCCTCCAGAAGGAGAAGAGCGGTACCAACAGGGCAGGTGGGAGAGTGCCAGCAAAACTCTCAGGGGACCTTGGTTTTGCTAAGGGCCTGTCACACTATATAATAGTAAGAGTAATAATAATAATGACAAACCTTCTATGGAATGAGTCTTATCTATGAAGGAGCATTGTACTGGGGTCTTTCACATGATTTCTGTAACTCTGAGACAGATTATACCCATTTTAATTTTAAAATTTCAAAGGTAATGCGTGCTCTTCACGGGCATTAAAAACAATATAGAAGCATATGTTAGAAATGAGTGTTTCCCTTCACACCTCTTCTGTTCTCATTCCCTGCTCATCACAGTCAGATGTGAATCCTGCAAGACCACTTTCCACAAGACAGACATACACACATATACACATGCACACATGTACTTGCTTTAGTTTATGTGGATAGAATTCTACAATTTGCTCTATTCACTTAACAGAACATACCTTAGTCATGATCTCATGCAGTCAGTACATACTCCTTTCTTCTTTCTGTAAAATTCTACAGAGAGGACATGCTCTAGTTTGTTTTATTATCCCCCCATTGATGGGCATTTAGGTTGTTGCTGATATTTAAATGCTCAATGAATACTTTTGTGGATGTGTCTCTAGACTCTTGTAAGCAGAAATGCTATAAAAAGCTGTACACAGTGCTTGAAAAGTGCCCTCCAAAAAGGCTTCACTACTATCATCAATGGATATAAGATAGTACCCCTGTCCCTCACCCCTGTCAGCACCAATCATCCTCTTATAAATTCATTCATTCATCCATCCATCCATCCATCCATCCATCAGATACTTTTTGGAGAGTGACTACATGAAATTGACCTTTGGAGAACTGAAGTAAGTTTCCCAAAGTCACACAGTTAATAAGAAGTAGAAGTGGATTGAAAACCACCTCAGAGTCCATGTCCCTCTACCTCTGTGCCTGTCTGCAGGATCTTTTCCCTCCCTGGCTTGATGAACTGACTTATTTTCTTCTCAGAGCACATCGGATTTCAGTTTCTCTGTGATTATAGAGAACGTAGACTGCTACAGCTCTGGCATCATCTGCAGGAAGTTTATTTCCATCAACGTTGGGAACTCACTCATCATCTTTGATGATGACTCAGGAAATCCTGTAAGGCCTGGTGCAGGTTAAGGTTGTACGAACGATTTGTATGTTAACAGGGGCCAGGGGCAGAAGAGGGCTGGGGACTGGTTTCCTTACCACAGCAGTTTCTCTTGGAGCCGTTGAGTCAGCAGCCCAGATTGAATTCCTTGGTCAGAGTCAAGAACACAGAGGTCAATGTCAGGGCATGAGGGAGGCATGATTTCCTGGGACTGGACAATGACTTAGATCTGGGCCCCACTGACCCAGGTATTGGGGGACACTCAGGCCACAGGAATGACTGTCTCTGTCCCCCTAGAGTCCTGAGAGCTTCCTGGATGAGAAGCAGGAGGTCCACACCTGGCAAGCAGGGTTTTTCACATTGGTGCATTTCCCAAGGGAACACATCACCCTCTTATGGGACCAAAGAACCACAGTGCACGTCCAGGCTGGGCCACAATGGCAGGTAGTTGCACGAGCAGTGACCCTCACAGGGCCCTCTGCTCCTGTCTGGGGCTGATCCAGGCCTTGGGCATCCTCGCATGAACTATACCCTCACCGAGGAGCCAGGAGCATCATGTCTCCTGTCCTATCTGCCTACACCCCACTCTGTGCCCTTCTCCCCTGACTCTTCTCCTATCCCTCTTTACATTGTGACTCCAGAAGTTGCTTCTGGGTCCATGACAGATTCCTGGGCTCATGGTGACTCCTCTTCCAGTGGTTCATCCCTGGTGTTCCTGCAGGTGACCATCGTGTTCTCCCTTCTTTCAGGGCCAGCTGGCTGGACTCTGTGGGAACTTTGACTTAAAAACCATCAATGAGATGAGGACTCCAGAGAATTTAGAGTTAACTAACCCCCAGGAGTTTGGCAGCAGTTGGGCTGCAGTTGAGGTAAAGCCTCCCTAGGCTGGCTTACTCCTTCACTCAGATGGGCCCTGGCCAGCACTGAGGGAACCCCAGTCAGAGACTGCTCCTCGGTGAGGCTGCTCCTGCAACTGCTCCACCAGCCTCTGACCCAGCATCCCCAGCCTTAGACTCTGCGGCCTGAGGACACATACCACCCACCTCACAAATCGAGCTGCATGTGTGCCTCGGATCAAGCCCTGGCAGGAGGGTAGGGGCTGCAAAGGAGACAAAGTCTTTGTCTTAGGAGACATGACCACCTGCCAGGGAAGATAAGGCTTGTTGAAGCATGACCATCTTACCCATCTTCTGTGTCCCCAGTGCCTGGCACTAGGTCTGGCCCAGAGGAGAATCCAAGAGAGACCCATGTGGACTGAGGCAATCAGAGGCTTCCTGAAGGAGGTGGGAGTATGGTGGTACTTAAAGGATAGGCCATATTTGGAAAGATGCATGTATCAGAGAGAAAGCCTCTGAGAGGGAGGACAACTTTAACAGAGGCAGAAATGAGGAGGGTGTCCCTGCAGGTTGAGAGATGGCTGAGGAGCCCAAGCTGTGAGCTATGGAGCTAAATAGCACTGAACTCAGAGCAGGAGACCTAGGTTCTTGTCTTGGGTCATCCAGTGACTTGCTGGTTGACCTTGACTAAGTTCCATCTTCTCTGTCATCCTCTGTGAAGGAGCTATGCCAGGAGAGGGATGGTGACTGGATTTGACTTATCATGACAGCTTTGATCAGCCAGAAGAGGTTGCCTAGGAAGCTATGCTGAGAAATACCTAAGACTTGTGTCAGGCTCAGCTAGAAGGAGAACTGTGGTAGATTAGTTATGTCTGCCATGAGTACAGCAGCAGACAGCGGTGATATGAGTGTTACATATTTGCCTTTCTCGGACTGGGTCATTTTAGGTCCCTAATTCTCTGTTGGGTAATAGATGAAGGTGAGCTTATGTAGCTTGGGGTCAGGGCATAGTCCTCAGTATAATCCTGAGGTGGGACAAGGCTGTTCTCATAGTCTCAGAAGGGTATGCTCTAGCCCACTACCATTTAAAAGAAGCAGAGAGGGTGACTAACTTGTATTGCTCCCCTCCTCTGATCCCCTACTGCTGCTCTTCTCTCGATAATCCTTTGGCATATCCTGGGCCGGTGGGGGGGGGGGGGGGTGGTGTGTTATGTGACAGTGTAGGCCTGATGGAGGAGGCTTGTCAGACATTGGGGAAGTCTGTATTAGTTATTAGTTATCTATAGCTGTGTAACAACATTACTACAGATTTGGCAGCATTTAACCACACACATGTATTATCTCAGTTTCTGTGGGTCAAGAGTCAGGGCAGGGCTTGACTCGGTTCTTTGCTTAGGGTATCACAGTCTGCTACCAAGGTGTCAGCCAGGGCTGAGCTCTCATCTGGATGTTCAACTAGGGAGGTATCTCCTTCCCCACCTGCTGGGGGGTTGTCAGTAGCATTCAGTTCCTTGCAGCCATAGAACGGAGAGCTTCAGTGGTTTTGCTAGCTGTTGGCTAGAGAGGACCCTCGGCTCCTAAAGACCACTCACCATTCTGGTCATGTGAGATTCCCCAACACGGTCGCATGCTTCCTCACAGCCAGCAAAAGAGAGACTCCAGAGAGATGGGCTCTCCATCTTATGTAACATAAAAATGCAATCACATACACATAACCGTGTCCATCCCATCACCTTAGCCTTCTTTTTTCAGCTTGAAGCCTTCATAAGTCCTTCCCACACTCAAGGAGAGGGGATTATACAAGGGCTTGAACCTCAGGAGTTAGGGACCATGGGAGTCAGTCTAGGAGTTTGTCCACCACACCAGGCAATAAGGCATTGTGGGGGTAGGGAGATCAACAGACGTGTCTTTGCCTCTCAGTGCCCAGATACCCTTGATCCCTGGGACACATGTGTCCTGAATCCTCTCCGGGAACCGTTTGCCAGAAAGGAGTGCAGCATTCTGCTCAGTGAGGTGTTTGAGACCTGCCACCCTGTGGTGAGTGGACCCCAGCCTCAACACTCCTGATTCCCTCCCCCACCTTCCCGGGATCCCTTCCGCTCTCAGAACCCCCGACTCCACAACCCATGCCTCAGAAGAGGCACCTCAGGTCTAGAAAGGAGATCCACCTCTGTCAATTCCCTGCCTCCAGCTAGCTCAGATGAGTCTGCCCTGTTTTCCCAGATTCCCAGAATGACCCAGGACAGACAGCCAGAGAAACAGCTTCCATGCCCCTCTTTTATTTTGAGAAAGAGAGTGGGAGAGGGGCAGATGGAGAGAGAGAGAGAATTTTCTTATTGTCTATTTATTTTGAGAGAGAGAGAGAGAATATTTTTTTATTGTTCAGAGAGAGAGAGAAAGAGAGGGTGCGTGTGCATGCACATGTACACAAGTAGGAGAGGGGCAGAGAGAGGAGAGAGAGAATCCCAAGCAGGCTCTGTGCTGTCAGCGCAGAACCCCACACAGGACTCAGTCCCACAAACCAAACCATGAGATCATGACCTGAGCCGAAATCAAGAGTGAGATGCTCAATGGACTGAGCCACCCACACACCCCTTCCATGCCTTTTTGAAACCTGTCTCAATCTGGCTCTGATGAGGAAGTCCTTCGAACAGTGAGCAAAAACCCGTTATGCTGTGGCATCGGCCCGCTGCCTGTTCTGCCCTCAGAGGAGACAGAGGGGAGCTGGCGCTTAGCTTCGCATGGTCCCCTCCAGGGCTTTCAAGGCTGCTGTCGGGCTGGCCTTGGTTGTCTCTGGCCTTGGCTGGGAGTTCATACCCCACATCTTTTTCTCAGCCACATCCTTAGACCCTGGATCCAATAGCATAGGCCTGGGGAAGGTGAGAGCCCAGTTCTCAAAAGTAGGATCTGTCTGGGCCATGGAGTTGTTTCCTTCTGAGTTGGCCACCTGTCTGCCCTCACCCCACCCGGGCAGCTTGCCCTGCCCTGTGGCCCCTTCATGTTTGTACCACTCCCTAAAGCTAAGTGGCATTGGTTGAGAAGCTGAAGAGCTAACATTCAGGAGCTGTCCTCTGACCTCTGACTTCTGACCTCCCTTAGGTCGATGTCACTTGGTTTTACTCAAACTGCCTGACAGACACATGTGGGTGCAACCGGGGTGGTGACTGTGAGTGTTTCTGTGCCAGCGTGTCTGCCTATGCCCACCAGTGCTGTCAGCATGGGGTGGCTGTGGACTGGAGGACCCCACACCTCTGCCGTGAGTATCCAGACCAATCAGCCAAGGTAGGGAGTGGGGACCCCTCTGTGGGCAGGCCTGTGGGGCGCCATCACTCTCTAGTGGCTAGTGTTTATTGAGTACTTGGTATGTTCCAGGCGCATCCTCCTCAGCTGGATACAGGTTTGCCTGTATCTTTCATTGAATTTTTACAAAACCCTATGAAGTAGGACCATTTATTCCTGTTTTACAGTTGGGGAGCAGGTTAGACAGAGGCAGAGATTAAGTAACATGCTCAAGGTCACATAGGTTAGTGGTCAATCCAGGGCTCATCTTCAGATGGTCTGGCTGCAGACCTGTGCCCTTACCCACTCTACCAGAGGAGTGAGGAGCCCCGGGTTTCAGACCCACAGCTGCCATTTGCAAGCTGTGTGGCCTTAACCATTTGCAAATAGCCTTAACAAGTCATTCAGCCTCTCGAGGGCTCAATTTTCTCATCTGTAAAGTAGGAATAGACCTGCCCCACCAGCTTCATTGTGAGGATCAAATGGGATAGTGAATGTAAAAGCCCTTTGTCAGCTAATACACACAGGCCCCATCAGAGGCAGCACAAGACATCAGTTTATTTAGCGCAATGGTGGTCTGCAAACGCCCTGGGCTGTCTGCTCCTATCCTGTAAAAATATTTCCAGCATGCATGCATACATATACATACATGCATGTACATAAATAAACTGTTAGTAGTGTAAATGTATGTCATACAGCAGATATAAAAGTGAATATTTTAAAAATTAAATAAAATATGTAGAAAGTTAAATTATTCATTAACTTATTTTTTATTATTTGTTCCTGCACACCAGTGATCTTCCTGGTGCCTTTATGCCTCACTTTGGGGTGCAGTGGTTATTACACAAGCCCTAGGGCCAGACTCTCTTGGGTTAGCGGTCACCAAGTGGGGTGACCTGGGGCATGTGCTTCACACTCTGACTCGTAGTTGAGGGCTGAGGGAACCATACCTGCCTTGCAGGGTGCTGTGAGCTGTCAGTGAGATAACACATGTAAAGCCCTTGGCACAGTGCTCTATGCTATTACTGAGGTCGCTGTCATTTTTTATGGGGACATGGGGCCGGCATGTCCTGAGCCCTGAGAGCTCCAGGCAGGATGACCCTAGGAAGAAGATGGAACAGAATCCACCTTTGGCCTCCCTTTTATCTGTCCATCTTCCTCTGGACCCTCCCACTGCAGATGCTCTGTGGATGCTCAGTGGTCCTCCCTCTATTCCTCAGGTAAAAATCCTTCTTGAAAAAGAAGGGAACACATATTTACAAGTATCTGCTGTGTGCCAGGCCCTGAGCCATCTCCGCGTTAATTCACTTAATCTTTAGGGCTAGAGTGAAGTAAAGGACACCTCACCTGGGACACAAGATTTAAGGGGCACCAAGATCTCAGTAATGGAGATAAATCACATTTTAAGGTAATTGTTTTAAAAACTCAAACTTAATGCAAAACTCTCTTCAGCTTTGGTGAACAAAAAGTCAAAGTTTTAAGTAATGACAGGATCAATATTATTGATTTTCCCTTCTGCCTCAGGATCCAGTGTGGCTCGGCAAGGCACTGTCATTTATCCTGTCCTTATTTAAAATTTTTGATATTTTGTTTATCGTGGGTATTTTTGCATTAACTTCAAAAATTTTTAAACAGTGTGTTAAAATACTATATATCTTAATTACTGAGATTTTTGACGCCCTCTTACATTTTGCACCCAAGGTAAGCATTTGCCTTACCCTAGTCCAGACCTCACAAATCTATGGGGCAGATACTAGTGGTGGTCCCATCTTATAAAGTAGGGCATTAAATTTCAGAAAGGTTGAGTAACTTGTCCCAGTATGCACAGTTGAAGAGTGAGAGAGATAGAATTTGAACTCAGGTCTGACTTTTCCAGACTATCTCCCCCAGACCTGGTACACACTTGAAACCAGAGACTCTGAGATCTAATTCTCTAGTTCAATCTTCTGAGTCAACAAGTGAGGAAAAGTGAGTACTTTCCCATAACCACATGGTGGGTCAATCTAACTGCTAGTGCTCTTTCTAGAGGTCAATGCCAAATGCAGTGGAGTTGGTGGCTCTCTTCAGACCATGCCTACAAGCGAGGGAGAATGCTCCTCAGCTTACCCAAGTAGTTCCTCATGGCCTTGCTTCTGGCTTTAGGTACCCCTGCAAGGTCCCCAGTTTACCCCAATGGACTAAAGAATCCATGTCTCAGGTCCCAGGGCAATAGGCTGTGGTGCTGGGCTGGGCCACTAGAGGGTGCGCTGAGCACACACTTGGAAGAGCTTGTCAAAACCTGATGGAAACTACACCCAGGGACCTGAAGAAGCCTTGGATCTTAGAGGCCCCTGGTTCCCTTCTACCCAAGGTTCTTGAAATACCAATTTGTACCTTGTGCTTGTATTCCTCCAGGACCTGCTATAACATTTCTTATTGGAGTTTCCACTTCTTGATTCTAACCTTGCCCTTTGGGGCCACACAAAACACACCATTCTGTCCAACATTCATTCATTCATTCATTCATTCATTCAATGCATGCTGAGTGCCTACTCTAGGCCAGGTTTTGAGCTTTGTGCTGGGGGTACAGAAAGGAGCCATGGTATTTCCTACACCTTAAGATATATGAATCCAGTGACCATGCCTAAATCTTGGAGTTTGGGAGGCAAGCTAAATCTGGGACAGCTGGGATTGCTAGGGGCCATGGCTCTGTCCATCTGTTCCAGGTTTCTCAAAAAGTCTTTTCTCTCTCTTTCAGCGTATGACTGTGACTTCTTTAACAAAGGTAAGCCCGTCTTCCCCAAGTGGAGTCTGGGGGGCTGAGCCACTGCCAGCCCTGCCCTGATGCCATAACAGCATCAGCCATCCTGAGGCCCTGCTGGCCCCAGAAGAGCTGTGACATGGGGCAGGGGGGGAACCCCACCATGCAGGGAGAACCCAGACAGTGCAGAGACCACAGGATGCCCTGGAATTCTGTCCCTAGAAGTTCCTGTGGCCTTTGTCCATAGTCCAGGCTGGGCCAGCTTCCCAGGAGTTGTTCTCACCCAGGATAGCTTCACCAGGAAGTTAAAACCCCATTTGCACAGTGTGCCACCCTGTGGCCTTCACAGTCTAGTTCATCAGGCCCATGGAATATTGTCTTGGGTCTCCTGAAGTTTTGAGTGGCAAAGGCAAGTTCAAACTGCTCTTTCTGAGGATGACTGGAGCAAAACCTATAGCTTGGCTTAGACTGTCAGATTCATCTTCAAATTTAGCCAAGGTCCCAGGGTACCAAGATATGCTCCAACTTCTGCATTAGGTAGGGTGAAGACACAGGTCATGACTAAAAACCCAAGGAAGGTTAATGTCCAGCATTAGAGCTCATTACTCAGTTTCATCACTAGGGTCATGGGCAATGGGGTGGGAAGTCAGATCTTGGCAGAGTTAGATGCTTCTCAGGTCCTTGGTATCATTCACATTTGACTTCTGGGCCCAGCTCCATTCTCTCCAGGTACCATGCCATGAGCAGGCCTGTGTGGGTATAGGTCCAAGGCTTTGTCCTCAGTTTCCTGCATTATCAGATTTTGGTCTGTCCCGCTGGCAGAGTATAGCAAGTGAAATTGAGGGGGACAGACTAGAGACCAGGATACCAGTCAGGGGGTCTGCGAGAGGAGAGCTGGACCAGAGTAAAGCATGATAGTGCAGTGACTACAGGCCCTCCAAAATGTTAGCCCTTAGGGACTCCTGATGGCCAGGGGCTTCCTCCTGGCTATGAGGAATCTTTCTTTATAGGAATGAATCTGAAATAGGAGAATTGCAGTCCCTGGGACAGGCAAGGTCTGTCTGACATCAGGCAAAGACATTTCAGCAAGACAGCTCTGAGCAGAGTTTTCTCTCTTCTGTGGCATTTTCGGTGGCAGTAACTGGCAAAGGACAAGCTGTTTCTAGCATCCTCCACCCACTCACCCACCCACCCATCCATTCCTTGCTCTGCTCTTCTACCAACATTTTCTCTGGTCCAGGCCCTTGCTGGGTGTTGGGGAATCGGTGGTCAATGAGGCCTGTCACAGTAGCGTGTTGGCCCATGCTGGCTCTCTAAAACCACTGTGTACTCCTAACTCCACATTCAGTCCGTAGTTTGAAACTGACCACTGGCATGAGTATTCACGCCATGGAAATCAGCGAACGCTACAGATTGGGGTTTTGTTTGTTTGTTTGAAAGCTTATTGTCAGGCATTTAGTAGCACAGTGCTGCCTATTTCCCATCCGGTCCAGGAGACAGACATGGACCCTCCATCATGAGCCTCATCATAAGAGCTGTGATCAGTGTGTGCCTTACTCCGAGGGCTGGGGGAGCGCAGAGGAGGAGGGATGACGTTTGTGTGTGGCGGGAGAGGGTGCAGGGAGAGCTTCGCCAAGGAGGTGACATTTGAGCTGGGCCCCAAAGGTTGAGTAGGCGTTTGCCAGGCACAAAACAGGGAGGACTATTCTGAGTGGGCAGGACAGCATGAGGAGAGGCATGAGGTAGAACACAGCACGGCTTTTTCAAGGATGAGCCAGAGAAGTTCAGTGTGGCCGGGCAAGGGTGTGAGGAGGTAGGCGGGGGTCCCTGAATTCAATCTGGGCTCTTGGATTCTATCCTGACGGCAATGGGGAGCCATGGATGAGTCCCAGCAGGGAGTGTGACTAGAAAAGTGACTCAGACACCTGTGGGGAGGCAGCACTGGAAGCCAAGGGACACACCAGAGGCAGGGAAGTTGGTTATAAGATTATTGCCAGTTGTCTAGGAAACCCCATGGCCCTTTCCAACCTATACCAACAACTGTAGGCACCTAAGAGACACAAAAATGACACTTTGAGATAAGTAGGTAAACACTAATGTTGAGCCCAAGACTTCCTGGCCTTCCCTCAGGCCTTGTGTGGGCAGAGACCAGGTCTGATGTTAAGTATCAGAGATGACCCTGAATAGAGCAGTGGCTGTGGGACCGGCTCACGGAGAGACATTTGGTGGTGGTAGGTGGGCAGAGGTCTCCCATGGGCGGCCTTGTTCTCAGGCTTCTTGTGAAATTGTTCAGGCACTGTGCAGAGGGGTATTTCCCATCAGGGACTGACAGCCTGGAGTTTACTTCCCTTCTTGTGGAATCGAGCTCCCTGGGATCCGGGGTGAGGGAAGCGACCAAGAGTAGCTCTCTTGCACCCTCTCTTTTCTCCACCTTTGGCAGGATGGGAGGTGGGCAAAGGCCCAGGGGGGCAGGGCTCACGACTGGGCCCCTTCTCTCCAGCACTAGGTAAGGGTCCCTACCAACTGGCCAGCTTGGCAGGTGGCAGTGTCCTGGTGGCCACCAAGGCTGCAGGCGGTGCCATAGTCCTAGTGAGTGCAGAGGACGTGGCTCCAGGGGACATTGTGAACTTCCTGCTGACAGCTGCACTGTACAAGGCCAAGGCTCACGGTAAGGCCTATCTCTAACCCCACCCCGCCCCTTGGTGGAGGGAGGCAGTTGCCAGAGGAGGGGAGGATGTTGAGGCCCTAAGCAATCTGCAGTAGCTGAAGAAAAGTGGGGCTTGGACAGGTGCCCCTTTCCCAGTTGAGACAGCCTTTTGGGTCAGGCTGTTAGTCTCTTCAAAGAGGTGCCTTCCCTCTTCTCCCTGGAAAAAACAGGGAGGCCAAGGTCCTGATGTACCTTTGTACCTTGCTTTACGTCATTGCCTGTCGTACTCCAGAAAACCCTGGTGGCGACAACTGCTACCTCCTCTCCCTCTCCTCCTCCCCTCCTTCCTGCCCTCAGTCCTCTTTCCCCTCTCCTCCTCCTCCTCCTCTTCTTCCCTCTCCACCCCCATCTTTTCCTGCTTCTCCTTCTCTTCCTCTTCCCTTCCCTTCCATCCTTGAGACTGGATAGACTTCAAGTGCCAGAGGGGAGCTGGCTGATGACTCCAGGGGGCTTTCTTCTGTGAATGGAGGCGCAGGCTCTTGATTTGCTCAGGTTACGATCCTGAATTCTGGTCTGGCAGGTTACACAGACTGGGACACACCTGGAACCAGCTGCAGCCTCCCAGGTCTCAGAAGGTCTGCAGACCGGACAAGCTTAGCTATAGTGGGCATTGCCCTCCCTTAGGAGTTCGGTAATGTTTGAGGAGTGGCAGGAATCTTGCCTGGTGCAGAGAGACCCCTGGATGGTATTTTTGCTGGGCCCTGGGCCAGCCAAGGCCTCAGATGAACCAGTGCTAGGAAGTCTTTTCTTTGGCCATTTGTGTGTGTCCCAGTGTGCACGGTCACTGTGATCAGCATTTCTACCCCCGCATCCTGCTGGCCCCATCTAGTCAGTATCTTCCCAACCACAGGGATGGTCCATGCAGCCTGTCCTGGCATCAGCTGGAGCCATGAACCAAGATGCTTCTCAGAGAGTCCATCCCAATCTAAGGATTTAAGATCTCAGATTCTCAGGGTCTGCTGTTTATCTAGTTAGGAGAACCTTTCCCCACACCCTCATCCTAGCCTCCCTTCCTCATGCCCTCCCTCCCTTTCACTGGGCCCTATTCCCAGGCCAGACACAGAGCTGGGTGCTGGGGCATCAGGGATGGAAAAGACACATTCCTGCCCACCAGAAGTCCACAGTCCCATCCAGGAGACAGACATGACATGATCAAAGGCAGTTAACAATGTCTGTGGGAACACTTGGGAGGAGCCCCTAAAGCAGTCTTGGGGAGTCAGGAGAGGCTTCTTAGAGTAAGTGGTGTTCCCTTGAGGGGTGGGAAGAAGCCAGAGAGGGACTTGTAAGCTGGGCTCAGGAGCTGGGCTTTTATTCTGAGGGCGGTGGGAAGCCATGGAAGGGCTTTCAGGAGGAGAGAGACACTCCAGCTCCTGCCCAGCCCCAGGCACAGCTGTGGGTGATGTTCATGGGGGTGTGAGCCAGGGGTACAGTAGGAGGTGCCAAGAGGAATCACGTCACCGGACAAGGAAGCCTGGGACTGGGCCACCCACCACCACCCAAAAGAGAGCACTCCCTCCCTAAACGTTCCTAATCCCCAGGTCCGTGTGTGGTCCTATTTAAAGAAGGGTGTCTTACAACCTTCTAGGTGCAGTAGGTCATCTACTTAGTGGGCATTTTCTGTTCTCCATTTAATATGTTAGTCCAGTAAGAAGTCCAGAGGGGGCGATGATTTTCCAGTGGTTTTATGGGCATGTTAAGCAGAACCCCAGGGTAGGCTGTCCTTGAAGAACATCACTGTGGACAGGATTCCCCAGAGTGAAGAGGCTGTGAAGCCCAGCCTCCACCTCAGTCAGGCCTGGGTCTCCTGGGCAGGTGGGAGCAGGGCCCAGTAAGGACCCAGGTCCCCACACCTATCCTATCCTGTGCTCCTTCCCTTATACTGTACCCAGGGTACTGGACAGCAGAAGAGAATGTGCCTTCTAGGTGAGATCTGGGGCGGCGGCATGGAAGTGTCCTTTGAACTGGGCCTTGAATGATGGAAAAGATTATGATGGGAAGAAATGGAGAGCAGAAAAAGTCACAGAGGGGAAGACTCAGCAATCATTCAGGCCTGAGCCTGTCACTCTTGGGAGTTTTGATGTCCTGTAGAATATATTAAAGGGACACAAGTCATAGCCTGGTGTATCACCGGGGAGGGTCAATTTGACTTGAAGATTTAGGGAGGAGGTTCCTTATTTATTAATAATAGTAGCTCACCCTGCTGTAGCACTTACCATGCGCTGGACACTATTCTCGGTGCTTCCTAGATACCAACTCATTTAGACCTCAGGGCAGTTTTAGGAGGTACGGTGCTGTTGTTTTCCCAAGTTACAGATGCGAGAACTGCGGCCCAGAGAAGTTAGGAAATTCACCCAAAGGTGCGTCACTCGTTAGTGACAGCAGCCAGTACTTCATCTGAACTGCTGTGCCATGCTGCCTCCCAAACACAGATGTAAAAAGAAATAAAATTTAGCGACTGGGAGGTAGAAGTCACTTGAATGCTTCAGGTAAAACACAAGACTTTTTACCTCAGGGTCTGCGTTCCAGCCTCTCCTCTGTTAAGAGGACTTAAATGGTTGAGAACTTTGATCTAGGCTGAGAGCAGCCTTCACAAAGAAGGAGGGCAAGTCCCCGAGAGGGAAAGTGCCTTGCCTGAGGTCACGCCGAGAACGTGAACAGGGCTGGGCTGGAACACAGCACCCTACCCCTCTGTGCTGCCCTGTGCCAGCTCCTGGATCCCATCCCTGGGGCTGACGGTGCAGAGGTTAAGATCCTGGGCTCTGGCCTTAGCCTGCCTGGGCTCCTAATCCTGCCTCCCTCGTCCACCATCGGTGTGACTCTGGGCCTCGCTTTCCTCATCTGTAAAATGGGAATAACAATATCATCTCCTTCTAACCTATTATAGATTTTACTTGTTTATTATGTTTGTCCTCCTCCCACTTGAATATAAGCTCCATCCCGGCAGGGATTTTTGTTGGTTTGTTTTTTCTTTTCCCCGTTGTGCCTAGAACAGTGCCTGGCACATGAAGGGCCCTCAGAAAACATGAGCTGCTGAATGAATGAATTTGCCACCTCCCAGGGTGCTCTTGGAATTTAATAAACCAGCAGGTAGAGGGCTTGCTTAGCGTTGTGTCTGGCACATAGTCATTGGTACATAGCAGTTGTTGTTATTACTGTTAACGATGAATCCTTCGTCCATGTGCCTCCTGTCTTCTCACAGCTGCTCAGGGAGGTGTAACAGGAGCTACATGGGCGGGAAGGGAAGACACACGAAGCCCTGCACTAGGTCTTTCACATACACTGTATTGTTTATCCCTCACAAGAGCCTAGGCACGTCAAGTCACTAGCCCACAAGGCAGCCGGCTGTGGCGGGCCGGGACTCCTGGACACCTGCTTGTGGATCTGGGGGCTGACAAAACCTGCAGGGCCCTGTGCAGGGGGTTATCCACCCAGAAACAAGCCCTACTTTCTAGAACTGGGCCTTTGTGGACACAGGAGAGAGGACAGCAGAGACCAATCGTAGGGCTCAGAGCAAGCCCCTTCTCCTCTCGGGTTCACTATTTTCCCATCTGTGGCTTGGACTCGACACACCCCTCAGTCTGCCAGCTCTGACCATCTGGGATTCTGTGTGAAGCAGGACCGAGGTGGGGTCCCTGAAACCTGGCAAATCCCCAAACCCCAGCCTGGCCAATAGAATGTGACTCCTCCGGGGTGGCCGTTTCTGTCAGTCTATTCCCTGCTGCATCCCTAGCATTTAGAATTTCTCCTGGCACACAGAGTGTCCTCAAAATGTTTGCAGAGGAAGAAAGGAGGGAGGAGGGAAGGAAGGTGGGAGGAAGACACCTCCCCGAGGTTTGGCAGCTGGCAGCTTCTCTAACCTTCCACTTCCCTCAGGGAGAGGTGGTGTGCACAGAGGGGCAGCCAGCAGGCGGAAGTCGGTGGGCAGGCATGGAGGAGCAGGGCCCAGCTAATCCACAGGGCGTGTTGCTGTCCTGAGTCTCTGAGGTTCTGCACCCCATATGGACCCGTCTCTGCGCTCACTTTACCCACCTGGCTCTTTGCAGACCCGGACGTGGTATCCCTGGAGGCAGCGGACAGACCCAACTTCTTCCTCCATGTCACAGCCAATGGGTCTGTGGAGCTGGCTAAGTGGCAGGGCAACGTTGCCTTCCACCACCATGCCTCCTTCTCACTGCACTGGGGGACGTGGCAGGCAGGCCTAGTGGCCCTAGAGTCACTGGCAGAGCCTGGGTCCTTCCTTTATGTGTTGGGGCCCACGCTGGTCCTGCGGCTGTATGAGCACACAGAGGTGTTCCGCCGGGGCACGTTCTTCCGCCTTCTAGGTAGGTGTCCCCCCTGCCATCACCCTCAGCCCCTCATCAGACTGCCCTTCCCACCCTCTCGCACCACACCCTTCCAATCACCCTCAAGAGGCAGAATTCCCACTCTCCTGGCTCAGGGAGACCACCCTTGGGTGCTGCCCCTGAGATGGGATGTGGCCCAACCTCCATGTTGATGGCCTAGGGAGCCTGTGGGCAGTGGGGCTCGGGGCCCAGCCAGCTTCCTGGGTCCTGCCTACACCCACAGGCCGATTACATGGTCTAAAAATAGGGCAGCCTTTGTGGAAGGGAGGCAAGAAGTGCTCCTGGCCACAGCTTGCGTAGCCCACTGGCTCAGGTTTCTTGCTGATGGGGACACATGCTGGCCCTGTGCTTTCAAAGACTGCCCCCTGGGGCACCAGGCTGAGGATCCAGCAGTCTCCCTCTCCCCCGTGGCAGTAATGGGGCAGTTCCACACCCTTTCTAGCGGAGACGGATAGGTTCCAGACCTTTGCCATCCCCCTGCCAGGTGGGTCTGCCCCCAAATGCTTGATCACTGCCTAATCCCTGGAGGAAGTGATCACAATTTCTCTACCACTTCAGGCAGACCTCTGTGTCCTGCATGTGGACATGTATGTTTGTGTCTGTGAGGGCACCTCATGCCACATGAATGGATCCATTTACATACATGCATAAATGTATCTCCAGCCAGCCTCCTCATTTATCACCTCCCCTACAAACCAGGCCTGGGCCAGCTCGTTGTTACATTCAGCGGTCATCTGTAGAGTCCACCAATGAACCCCACCCAGGACAGATTCATCACTGGCTGTAATGGCAGAGCTTGTGTCCCTTTCTGGAAGACAGAGTGGAATGAACGCAGGCTTTGAAGCCAGACAGCCTTGGGTTCAAATCCTGACCCTAGTTCTTGGCACTTGGAGGACAGCTCCCCACCATCCAACCCTGTACAATGGGAATATTTGCCTCATAAAATTGTTGTGAGGATTGATTGCATCTCGCGGGTTTTGCTCTGGGCCTGGCTTATAGTAGGTGCTCCCCAAATGTAAGTTCTCAGTTCAGGTCTTAAGGATCTTAGAAAAGCAGATTTTCTCCACAGTCATCAGCAGTGTGGGAAAAGGGAGTCGGAAAGGGGCTGCTCCCTCTGGCCTGTTGCAGATCCCACCCACATCTTCCTGCTCAAGCCATGGTTTCAGAGACCAGTCACTTCTGCTAAGGTGGTCTGGGGTCTTGTCTGCCTCTGAGTCCCCCTTTGCCCAGACTTCCTCTGAGGTTTCCTCATCTGTCACACTGGCCACAGGACGTTTTCCGAGGAAATCTCTTCTGGGAGAGTTTAATTTTCCCAGCATCTTGTGTGCCTCAGTTTCCTCACCCATAAAATGGGGGTAAAGATAGTGCTACGTCACAGGATTATTGTGGGGAAATACTTGTGAGATGTTGAATGTCATATTTGGTGCTGTTGTTTTTGTTATTATTACTATTAATAGCCACCAAGGTCCCAGGGGTGCAGAGCAAGCCTGGCCATCAAGGTCCCAGAGGGGCAGAGCAGCCTTATGGGGACATCAGAGGTCCCAGCCTTATCTTTGGCTAACCCTCAAAGCCCAGCTACAACTGCCTGCTCTATAGTGCCCTGCCCTGGGCTTCTTAGCCCCTACACCAAACTCCCAGAGCCCTATCCCAAAGATCCCCCAGGCACCGACCCCGACTCTCAGGAATACAAACTTCCCCTTAGGTTGACTTTTATTTTAGTATATGCTGTCTTATTTTATTTTTCTTTACTTTTCCTACATGCGTCCATTTGTCTCTTCCATGGAGCAGGGTGGGGATGGGCTGAGCTAGGATTACCTCTGTGTTCTGTCACCTGACCCTGAGCTGGTGCCCAGTCTCACTCAGTCTCAGCACTTGGGGCGGGTTGCCTTTCCAGATGCCAAGCCCTCAGGAGCTGCCTACCCCATCTGTGAGTGGCACTACGATGCTTGTGCCAGCCCCTGCTTCCGAACCTGCCGGGACCCACAGGCAGCTAGCTGCCAGGATGTGCCCAGGTGAGGGGGTATGGAGTCAAGGTGTGTACATCACTGGTTTGAGCACACACACGTGTAAATGGGCATGTAGTCTGACGGCATGGGCATGAGCACGTCCTGAGGTGTATATGTGTGCTTCCACATACTTGTGAATTCATGTTTCATGTGCCGCGTGTGTGGGGACGTGCGTATCAGAGCAAACCTGACTTACGCGGGTATGTGTGAATATTGATTTGTGCATGATGTGCATAGAGCTGGGCCCTGTGTGTGTCTGTGGGCTCTACACAGCTGTGTGTATGTGCATGTATGTGAGATGCATGTGTCTGGATGTTGGTGCAGCTGTGTGTGTGTGAAGGTGTATGCGCTGATGTTTTGACATTCTGTGTGAATGCTTTCGAGTCTTGCTGGCGTAACAATGTGCCTAAATGCAGACACTTGTGAGCATGTGTGAGTGTGTGCACAAGTATGTGCATAACCAGGCCTTTTTCGTGTTTCCCTCTTGGTCTGAGGAGAAGGTGTGTGCAAAAGTGTGCAACATGCATGTTTGGGTGTATGTGCTCCTGTACACAGTGTCTCTGGAGGTTCATGTCATGTGTGCCATAAGGAGATGAAGCGGTGCTCAATCCTAGTGAAAAGAGACGATGCCCTTCGTATTTCAGACTGCTAACTGGCTCCCTGCTCTGTCCTCAGGGTAGAAGGCTGTGTACCTGCATGCCCCACCCCCAAGGTCCTGGATGAAGTCACACAGAGATGTGTCTACCTGGAGGACTGTGAGTGGCCTAGATTTCTCATCCCCCCCGCTCCACTCAGATTTCTTGTAAGTCTCCACAGTCGCCTTGACCAATCATGCCCAGAGCCCCCAGGGCCCTAAAGAAGCAGCATCAGTATTGGGGCCTCTGGAAGAGACCCTGGAGTAGGCAGGGACCTCATTCAGTCCATTCTCCCTATGGTACAGAGAGAAAAATGAAGCCCAGAGTGGGGAAGGGACTGGCTTGGGATCAGGCAGTAGGAACATGGTACAGACAAACTTAGGCCTGAGGTCTGTTGGCTCTGAGCTCAGGTTTTGGGGCAAGAGTCCAAGGTTGGACTTTGGACTTGAATCCAAGCTCAAGTATGGGGCAGAGTCCAGACCTGCTGACTTCTGGGAGTCATCCAGTGCCATGCGGCAGAGGCCCCTGGGTTGGTCAGTCAGCCTGTCTGGACGTTGGAAGCTGCCTTCCCCCATGTTCACCTGAATCGCTGGTTCCAGAGCCCTGTTTTTTTTTTACATCCCTGCCCAGTGAAGACTCCCGGGGGCAACAGGCACTTCTGAGCTTCTTCTCTCTCTGCCCCAGGTGTGGAACCCATGGTTTTGCGTCCCACAGAACCTCTTGGCAATGAGACCCTGCCTCCCAGTCAAGAGCTGCCCACTCCCAGTGACAAGGAGCTGCAGTTTCCACAGGAAGCTCCCAGGGCCCCCTCCCACAAGCCAGCGCTCACTCCAGCTGCCCCACTCACCACAGCCCTGAACCCACCCCTGGTAGCTACTCAGGGGCCAATGCTGTCTCCAGGCCCCACACAGCCCACTCTGCAGCAGCCGCTGGAGGTCACTGCATCTAACCTCCCTGTCCACCCCACAGAGGCCCCGGCCAGCAAGGGAGTGACTGCCAGCCACCTGGCCACCTCCCCTGCCCCAGAATCCTCATCCCTCTCCCTTTCGCAGCAGACTCCCACACCTAGCATAGGGCCAAGTGCTATGAAGACGACTAGGGTGACTCTGACCTTTGCAGGGAGCCCCAACATCACAGTCTCCTCCCGGTCACCCCCTGCACCTCGCTTCCCACTCATGACCAAAGCTGTGACGGTCCCAGGCCCTGGCTCCTTGACTATTAAGACCACGCCCCTCCAGCCCTTCCCAAGCCTAGAGTTGCCTGCAAGTTCCCCCTCCAGACCTGTGGCTTCCCCTGCAGTGACCTCCAGGCCCCTCACTTCCTTGGGATCCCACAAGGCTTTGCTGACACCTGCAATAACAGAGGCCACGAACAGGACAGGGATCCCTCAGCCCATACAGGCCCAGAGCGTTTCTAGTCCCAGCAGCCCCCTGGCTGAGGCTAGAACAGAAGCAGAACAGGTTCCTGTTAGTCCTCTGGCAACCAAGAGAGTAGAGACGGAGCCACCGACAGAGAAGCAACCTGGGCCCGACCAGCCCCTGGGTATCCCACCATCCTCACTTCCAAGCCCCTTCCCCACTGCCCCACTCCACCCTGCCTGGCACACCACCACAGCCACCAGGCTTCCAGCTCCGCCCCCAAAGACTCCAGCTGCCACCAGCCAGTCCACAGTTGCTCACGGGCTGGGGGTCACACCCTTCGTGTCTCTGGACTCAACTCGGCCACACCAGCTCCTCTCTGGCCTGCCTCTTGATACCAGCCTGCCCTTGGCCAAGGTGGGCACATCTGCCCCAGTGGCCACGCCCGGGTCCAAGGGTTCTGTCACCACCCCTCTGCTCCCGCAGCAGCAGGCCACATCTCCCCCTATGGCCACAACTCCACCTGCTCAGACACTCAGCTCAGCACCTCCTCTCACCCCCTCTGTGGGCCAGGTAGACCTGCCCCATCACATAACCCCTCAGGCAGTAGGCACGGCACCAGGCCTGTTTCTGGGAGCCACATTGCCAGCCTCTGGAGTCGTGGCCATGGCTGAGGGGGCAGCCTCCACAGTATCTGTTGCCCCACAAAAAAGCACCGCAGAGAAGATGGCCATCCTGTCCAAGCAAGTGTCTCTGCCCACCAGGATACATGGCTCTGCCCAGGGGGGGCCCACAGAACTCACACCTGCTGTGGCCCACACTCTTGCTACCTTGGCACCTGAGGCTGACGTCCCCTGGGCTGGCACAGTGCCACTGGTGCCTACATCCTATCCCCTGAGCCGCGTCTCGGCCAGGACCGCCTCCCGAGAGAGCGCACTGGTTCTGCTCCCTCAGCTGCCCGAGGCCCATGGAACCTCGGCTGGACCTCGGCTCCCAGTAGAGCTGGAGGCAGAGGCCACCACCAAGCAGTCTGGGCGCTCGGCCCCAGCCCAGAGCATCGCAGCGAGTTCGGCAGAGACCTTGACAACCACCACTGAGGACAGCACATCTGCCACGTGTGTCGTGAGTGACTTGTCAGGCCCCCCATATGTGGACACTCCATGTGTCTCTCCTCCTGTGCCCTCTGGCTGGGACACCATCATTGCCGTCACATTCCTCATGGCCTGCTCCTGCTTCTCCTTCACTGGCTGCCAGGCTGAAAGATGGGGCTTCAGTCACCCCCCTTACCCTTGCCCCACACTCTGGAGCCTGACAGGTTCTCCAGTCTCCTCTGGGCCCCTGATGTCATAGCAGAGTCCGACCATTCCCCTAGGGCTGATTGGATGACTTAGCATGACATCCAGAGCATGACAACACGGGTGTGCTAGCATGTGTCTGTGTCTATGGAGCTACATGGGACTATGTGTGCATAGTGTATGTGTGTGAGACTCAGGGTGAGCCCTCATATGTCAGTGTGTGTGTGTGTGTGTGTGTGTGTGTGATATTTGGTGTTACAAGACAGTGTGTGTGCATTTGTAAGAAAGAGAGATAAAGCAAGATTGTGTGTGAGTGTGTGTGTGTGTGTGTGTATGTGTGTGTGCATGCATGGGTATGCTCGGGTTTTTCTGAGTCTAAGCTAGTGTGTTTGCACATCTGTGTACCTGGAGCTCTCTGCAAGGGCCAGACAGATATGCAGAGGTCTCTGGGAGTCAGTTCCCCGACCCCCAATCTCATGCTCAGCCCATCCCCAGGCCCCTGATGGGTATGTTGGGTGCGTGGAGAGTAAGGACACCACTCCCTAGTAGTCTTACTTCTGGGTCCCCTGACCTGCTACAGTCTACATTGGAAAGGGTCTTACTGCCCTTAGGCTTGACGGCTGGGGTGGGGGAATGAGTGGCTGTGGCACTAGGCTGGGCACTCACGCTGTCCTTCCACCCTGTGCCCCAGCCAATCGCTGAGCAAGACTGCGTCCGCCACATCTGCCTGGAGGGCCAGCTGATCCGAGTGAACCAGTCCCAGCACTGTCCCCAGGGCGCCAAACCCCCTCGCTGTGGGGTCCTGGGCCTCGCAGTGAGGGTGGGCGGGGACCGCTGCTGCCCCGTCTGGGAATGTGCCTGTGAGTCCTGGGATGCACCCGATCCTCCCCCAGTGTGACCTCGGCCCCTTACCTGTGTGCTCCTCAGCCTTAGGGTAACCCTGACCTGACTGCATTCTCCTATGGGACCTCTTGTCTCCGTGTGACCCCTGACCTGGCAGATTCCCTACTCTTGCAACCTCATCTCTGTGATGCCTGCTCTGAGTGGCTCTCCAGTCCCCAGGGCCTCTCCATCACCCAGGAAAAGGCCAAGAGGCCTGCCCTTTGTTCCTGGGTGGCCTTGGCCCCCAGAAGCATCCATCTATTCTTCTCATCCCTGCCCCTCCCCCAGGCCGATGCTCAATCTTCCCTGACCTAAGCTTCATAACCTTTGATGGGAGCCACGTAGCCCTGTTCAAGGAGGCCATCTACGTCCTCACCCAGAGCCCCAACGAAATGGTCACCGTCCATGTCCTTGACTGCAAAAGTGCTAACCTGGTGACTTCCCCCTACTTCCTTTCCTTCTGGGGCCTTGGGATTGACTAGGTTTGGAAGGGAGATTGAGCGGTGAATTGGGTTTTGAGGGATGCCAGAGTTGAGGACAGATGTGTAAACCCCTACGGTATTTCCCTCTGTCAAGGGTCTCTTGGAAGGGATGTGTGGGGAAAGGGTAAGTGGAGTGCACCACCTCCTGGCCCTTCCTGGGGCCTGTGCCATTCCCAGCTTGTCCCAGCTGCCCAGGCCCATGTGGGAGGCACTGAAGTGTAGAGAAGTGGGGATGCCACTCCAGGGCCTGAGGTCAAGAGTGCTGGCTGCAGAGAATCACCTACTAGGATATCCCCATGAGCCAGGTGGAAGGAGGCAGGGTATTTTTGTTTGTTTTTTCTTCTTCTTTTTTTTTTTTTTTTGGTTGGGCTTACAGGAGGTCAGGTAGAACCAGACGTGTTCCATGGGATTTTGTGCACCATCTGCACAGCCCCAGTGAGTGCTCCTGGCATATTGAGAGGGGGTGGCCAGGAAAGTGTGCTCACAATGGCTCACCAGGAGAAGCAGACAACAGGCCTGGACTCCAAGCTGATGAAGGTTGGGCTCTCTCTGCAGGGTCACCTAAACTGGCCCCCGTTCTGTCCGGTGATGCTGAATGTGACTCACTTGACCCATCAGGTCACCATCGACCGTTTCAACCGGAAGGTGAGTGCATCAAAGAGCCAGTATTCCTAGGGCAGCAATCATGGGGACAGGGGAGGGGTCTTGAGGCTTGTTCGTGATTGGGGGCAAGAGTGGGCAGGAACTTGAATGGAAAAGTTATATTTGAAAGTGATTTAATTAAAATATTTGTGGCCACTCTAATGTCAGGGGAGCACAGGTACTGGGAGGAATATTGTAAACGAGAGGAAGTTAGAATGGCAAGAGAGAGAGTGACCTTAAATGATTGCGGTTAAAGTATCTACTTCAGCAGTTTTTATAAAAATATGTGGCCATGTGCAAGTTTTATATAAATATATGGCGATGTCTTTCTAAAAGTATATATTTCTAGAGCCCCTTCTGAGAAAGGGACTATCTAAGTGAGGAGCCCTGATTTTAAGCTTCATTAGTTTCACACTAAGCCCACCTCTGCCAAGGAGCTGGCGTTCAACAGCAGCCCACTCTGTGTGGTACCCTCCCAAGGGCCTGCTTTGCTCCTCCCAACAGGTGGGTCAGAGGGGCTGATGTGTGTCCTCCTGTGGTCCTGACTCTCCCCACCCATTCCTGAGCCAAGATCTGCAGCCCTCCTGTTGGAATCTGCCCTTGAATGCCAGACTTAGGGCCACCACACCCTCTGAAGCTCTCAGGAACGGGAGAAAACTCCTTGGGTTTTACCCCTTAGGTTTTTAAATGTTTCCATTAAACAAAATTTGAGGTATAACTTACCTACAGTAAAATTCACCCTTGTTAGTGTGCAGTTCTATAAGTTTTAACAAACACCCACAGTCTTGTAACCACCACCATAATCATCACCCCCAGTTGTTGCCCTGTGCCACTTTGTTGTCAGCCTCTCCCACCTGCTGACAACCGCTGCCTTCTGTCCCTATACTTTTGGCTTTTCTAGAATGGCATATTCAGGGAACCAGAGTATACGGTGAGATTCTCCCCCATGGCATGTATCAATAGTCTGTTGATTGTTATTGTTGTAATATTCTGTCATACGGATGTGCCACTATTTGTTTATCTGTTTGCCAGTTGAAAGACATTTGGGCTGCTTCCAGTTTGGGGTGCTAACAAATAAAGATGCCTAAGCATTTGTATAAGGTTTTTTAAATTGAAGTATAGTTAGCATATAATATTATATTAGTTTCAGGTGTACAACATAGTGATTCAACAATTTCATACATTACTCAGTGCTCATCAGTATAAATGTAGCTGCCACTTGTCACTGTATGTGATTACAATATTATTGACTGTATTCCTTATGCTGTACTTTTCATTTTCATGACTTATTTATTTTATAACCGGAAGTTTGTACCCCTTAATTCCCTTTATCTATTTCACCCATTCCCCCACCCACCTTCCCTCTGGCAACCACCAGTTTGTTCTCTGTATTTAAGTCTGTTTTAAATCTGTTTTTTTTTCTTTCTTCCTCTCTTTCTCTCTTTTTCTCTTTCTTTCTTTCTTTCTTTCTTTCTTTCTTTCTTTCTTTCTTTTCTTTCTTTTTTTCTTTCTTTCTTTCTTTCTTTCTTTCTTCATTTGTTTTGTTTTTTAGATTCCACATTTAAGTGAAATCATGCACCATTTGCTTCTGTGTCTGACTTATTTCACATAGCACAGTACCTTCTAGGGTCCTTCCATTTTGCCTTAAATGGAAAAATTTCATTCTTTTTTATGGTTGAGTAATAATTGTGTGTACACACACACACACATATATGTATGTATACATAAATCTTATTTATCCATTCATCTATGGATGGACTCTTGGGTTGTTCCCATATCTTGGCTATTATAAATTATGCTGCTATAAACATAGGGGTGCATATATCTTTTTGAATTAGTGTTTTTGTTTTCTTTGTGTGAACACCTGGTAGTGGAATTACTAGATCATATAGTATTTCTTTTTTTTTTTTTTTTAATTTTTAAAATGTTTGTTCATTTTTGAGAGAGAGACAGAGCATGAGCAGGGAAGGGGCAGAGAGAGAGGGAGCACAGAATCCGAAGCAGGCTCCAGGCTCTGAGCCATCAGCACAGAGCCCAACGCAGGGCTCAAACTCACAAACCATGAGATCATGACCAGAGCAGAAGTCGGACACTTAACTGACTGAGCCACCCAGGCACCCCAATCATATAGTATTTCTATTTTTAATTTCTTAAGGAACCTCCATAATGTTTTCCACAGTGGCTGCACCAATTTACATTACCAACAGCACACAAGGGTTCCTTTTTCTTCACATCCTCAGCAACACTTGTTATTTCTCATCTTTTTGATTCTAGCCATTCTGACTGGTATCAGGTAATCTCTTGTGGTTTTGACTTGCAATTCCCTGATGATTAGTGATTTTGAGTACCTTTTCATGTGTCTCTTTGCCATCTGTATGACTTCTTTGGAAAATGTCTATTCAGGTCCTCTGCCCATTTTTTAGTTGGATTATTGTGGTCTTTTGGTGTTGAGTTTTTAAGTCATTCTAACAGATGTGTAATAAGATCTCATTGTAGTTTTAATTTGCATTTCTCTAATTGCTGATAATATTGAATATATTTTCATGGGTTTGTTTTCCATGGTATATCCTCTTTGGTGAAATGTCTGTTCAAACCTTTGCACGTTTTTTTTTTTTTTTTTTTTCAACGTTTATTTATTTTTGGGACAGAGAGAGACAGAGCATGAACGGGCGAGGGGCAGAGAGAGAGGGAGACACAGAATCGGAAACAGGCTCCAGGCTCTGAGCCATCAGCCCAGAGCCCAACGCGGGGCTCGAACTCACGGACCGCGAGATCGTGACCTGGCTGAAGTCGGACGCTTAACCGACTGCGCCACCCAGGCGCCCCCCTTTGCACGTTTTAAAGATTATGTTGTCTGTTTTATTGAGTTTTGAGAATTTTTTGTATTTTTTTGGATACAGGTCCTTTATCAGATATAAGTATTATCTTCCAGTCTGTGGCACATTTTTTTATTCACTTTCAAGTGTCTTTCAAAGAGCAGAAGTTTTTAATTTTGGTGGAGTCCAGTTTATCAGTTCTTTCTTTTATGGATCATGATTTTGGTGTTCTAACAAACTTTTGCTTAATGCAAAGTCTCAAGGATCTTCTCCTATGTTTTCTTCTAGAAGTTTTATAGCTTTAGGTATTACTTTAAAAAATTGTTTAATGTTTATTTATTTTTGAGAGAGAGACAGAGTGCGAGTGGGGGAGGAGCAGAGAGAGAGGGCTGAAGCAGGCTGCAGGCTCTGAGCTGTGAGCACAGAGCCTAATGTGGGGCTTGAACTCATGAATGGCAAGATCATGACCTGAGCTGAAGTTGGACGTTCAACCAACTGAACCACCCAGACGTCTCTAAATTTTTAAAAAATATTTATTTATTTTGGGGGGGGGAGGTGCAGAAAGAGAGAGAGGGAGAGAGAATACCAAGCAGTCTCCTCACTGTCAGCACAGAGCCAAATGTGGGGATCGATCTCACAAACTGTGAGAGCATGACCGAAGACAAAATCAAGAGTTGGACGCTTAACCAACTGAGCCACCCAGGTGCCTCTAAGTAGTAGTTTTAAGTATATGCTGCATTTTAAGTCAATTTTTATAAATGGAGTGAGGTATGGGTCAAGATTCTTTTTTTTTTTCTCGCATATGGACACCTATATGTTCCAGCACCTTTTAAAATTTTTTTTTTAACGTTTATTTATTTTTGAGACAGAGAGAGGCAGAGCATGAACAGGGGAGGGGCAGAGAGAGAGGGAGACACAGAATCTGAAACAGGCTCCAGGCTCCGAGCGGTCAGCACAGAGCCCGACGCGGGGCTCAAACTCACGGACCGTGAGATCATGACCTGAGCCGAAGTCGGACGCTTAACCGACTGAGCCACCCAGGCACCCTCCAGCACCTTTTTTAAAAAGATTATCCTGCCTCCATTGACTTGTCTTTGCACCTTTGTCGAAAATCAGCTGACCATTAATGTTTGGGTTTATTTCTGGACCTTTAATATTGTTCCACAAATCTATATATCTATCTTTTCACCAGTGCCACACTGTCTTGATAACTGTTACTTCTTATTAAATTTTTATTAAAATCAGGTTGTATGAGTCTTCCAACTTTCTTCTCTTTCAAAATTATGTTGGCTATTTTAATTATTTCATCTTTCTATATAAAGTAGTTTTCAATATAAGAATCTTGAACATATTTTGTCAGATTTATCTCTAAAATTTTCATATTTCTGATGTTATTGTAAATGATTCTGTTCTTTTTATTCACTTTCCAATCGCTCATTGCTAATATATATACATACAATTGATTTTTGCATCTCTTAAAAAGTGTTTGCCGTTGGGTTTTCATTTAGCTGTTTATATGTACACATGAGTTTTACATTGATATCATATCTTGCAACCTTGTTAAACTCACTTATTAGTTCTTGTAAATTCTTCTAGTTTTTCTACATAGATGTTTATATCTTTTCTAAATAGAGACGATTATATTTCTTCCTTTCCAGTGGGTATTTTTAAAATTTATTTTTCTTGCCTATTGCATTGGTTAGGACCTCTAATATGATGTTGAATAAGAGGGATTGAGCACTGACATCCTTGTCTTGTATCTGGTCTTAGGGAGAAGGCGTTCAGTCTTTCACTATAAAGCACAAAGTTAGTTGTAGGTCTTTTATAGATATCCTTTATCTGGTGAAGAAAGTTTTCTCCTATTTGTAGTTTGCTGAGAGTTTTTATTACTGTAAGCAGATGTTGAATTTTGTCAAAGCTTTTCACTGCATTTATTGAAATAATCATATTGTTCTTTTTCTTTAGACTTTCTACCCTACCCCCAAATCACAGTATTGCTGTTTACTTAAAAAAGGAAAGATTTTCAAATTTGTTTTAAATAAATAGCTTACAAATAATAGTAGTTATATTTAGAGAACATTTTATGTATATAAAAAAACCTCTGAGTCAAGATTTACATTTACAACATCAGCAAAATCTTCTTCATTAAATATACTTAAAAGTAGAAGACAGTTTTCCTGAGAAAGA